TGTGAGAAGGTTTACATTCACTTTAGCTTTGTCAAACATTTTCATTACAGAGACACCTTCGTACTGCATTTGAAGCAAGTCCTACAATAATGAAGGAAGTAAGTTAAGTACACATCTCCAAGCCTTGTTTTGCACAAGTTTTAAATTAATTTTTTCATACACCACTACACATAAAAGTTGCAAGCAATCCCCTTCCCAAGCAGAGGCAAGACAGTCAATATTTCCAGTTCGAATCTCACGTCAATCATAAACTCAGTAGCAATGCCATCTTAAGCTGAATAACACCCTTCTAAACAAATGGATTTCGGTAGACTTAGAAGGGTGTAATTAGCTTAGGATGGCATTGTAGGTGGCTTGAGGAAAACCTCTTGCTTCAGCTGCTGCCTCCTGCCCCCAATCTTCAATATGTCAAGTTAACAGTAATTTATAGTACTGAAATGATTACTGAGAATATGTGCTCTGAACACTGTAAATACTCTACATGAGTGCACATTTAAGTTGTCCATAACAGCACTGTTTATTTGCAGCATTTAGCTGTCATTCCATGTTCTGCTTCCCTCTCCTGTCACTAAAACTTGAAGACCATTAAGAACTCTATTTCTGCATACATACAACAGAAGACCCAGTGTGGAGAATAGGATTGTTCTAGATAGCTGACCATAGGAAAATGGTTTCCTGCTTTTTAAAAAACTGGAAAGATCTGTCCTTTACTGCTGGAAAAGGGTGGCAGTTGTATTGTCTATGTAAAAATCCCAAAATGGTGAAGTATTGCAGTGTGTGTGGGTGTGTGGAAACACATATTGTAAAGGGCCTTCTCCCCCTCCACATAACCATGTGACATCTAAGGTCTTCTGACTGCCACTTTTTGGTTGTGGCCCCCCCCCACTTAAGGTGGTCCACTTAGCACCTACAACGTGTTACTTTTCCTACAAGGTGGCTTCCACCTTGTAGAAAGGTTTCTCTCAAATGGAGAGGCTAGGGCAGCATCTGTAAGGCCAATTTTTAGCAAGGGATTTTAATGGGGTTCAAATCTGCAGGCATTTTTCTGGGGAGTGGGGGTAAATGGGGTTTTACTGTATTTTGTTTGGAATTTCAATGCCACCTTGAGGCACAAGGGAAAGCCACTGGCAAGCAGCCAGGTACTTTAAATGGGATTTTTTTTGGAAGGAGGATATTTTTCTTCCCACCCTCCATTTCCCATGTAATATTCAGGCTTCATGATTAACTCCTTGCCCGCCCAAGCAATAAAGTGCACCCCGGATCTCATGAAATCAATACTTACCTGAAAATGGAGCTGCACCTTTTCCATTTCCACTCCCAAGAACTTTGCTTTGATATCGAAGTCACCCACTTCTTCACCAGGTGTAATTTCAAACATGACATTCTTAAACCTTAAAACAAAAAAGGTAATCATTTGCATGGGTGAATAGATTTTATGCTAAACCAATTACTGGATTGAGAACTACAAATGTAATTATAAAAATGACAAATGAAGCAGCTACTTAAAATACTTAATCTTGAAAAAGTCAGATTAAAATTAATGCTTAATCCAAGCAAGTGTTTATGCACTTGGGCACACATGATACAAAACTTACTGATTAGGCTGAAGCTCATCAATTCCTAGTATAACCCCCTTTTCGTGTAGCCTCGCTGCTGTGTACTTCAGTGAAATGTTCTTAAGTTTGTTTCCTTTCTCTTCCTCTTTTCCACTTATTTTTATTGACCTCCGTGAATTTCTGCAAAACAAAAGATGGAAGCAGACGTTAGTCTATGAAAAACGGCATGTTTTTCCTTTCACTAAGAAAGGAAAATATAAACAGATGTTACTGGGTTTGGTTTTAGAACAGTTAATAAAGCCTCCTAAATTATATTTTGTAAAAAAGGGCAGCGATATAATCCAGCATCATAAAATTTTGTTGAAACATTTTAATGCATTTCATATTCTTAGTTAAAATGCTGCTCTGTACCTTATATCAATAAGGAAGTTCTATTCATTCATATATTTGCATATATTAATCTAAAAAGGAGAGTTTTAAATAAAAATATGACATTTAGCCATTAGGGCTGTACCCACAGACAGATGATCAGCACAACTAGCTTTCAGGGCCTTTTTTGTAGAAAAAGCCCACCAGGAACTCATTAGCATTATAGACCACACCCAACAGCAGAAATTCATTAGTATATTAGGCCACACCCCTGACAGTACATCTCATTAGCATAATAGGCCACACCCCATGCCTTCTCTTGGCTTGCCCGGGTGCCCCGTGGCTGTGAGGAGCCCGGGCAAGCCAGCCCTTGGAGGGGAGGGGAGGCAGTTTAAACTGCCTTCCCTTGGCTTGGGTGTAGTGGGTGTGGCGAACTCTGAAGCCAGCCGGAACTCCGTTACTGTGCGTTCCTGCCCCAAAATAGCCCTGGCTTTTATCATTTGTGTGGTGATTGACACCTCTGTTGCTGCCAC